TGCGCTTCTTAAGCGTTTCTCGGAAATTTACGGATTAACTTTTTCAAGACTAGTCTGTCCACGGACGTTTGTTTAGCTGCGCTTTATTTTTTCATTGAGCTAGCGAGCGAATTGGGCGCGCGCAAAAGCGAAAAATACATGTACAACCTTTGTCGGTTGACGTCAGTTTCGCGAAACGTAATGCTCTATTTCGCGAAGTATTGTTTGCGGAAATCACGAAATTATGTACGCGAGAAATTAAGAATGGATAGGATAGCGTTACACTTAGCTGGACAGCTCGAATCATTTTTACGTCCAGAAGTGACAAAGGAAATTTTGATTCCTTCAGCCTCGTTTGTCTGGTAAAAATAGAGTATGGTGTATGCGGCAGATGTTATCAGCAGGAAAAGAAGGCCAGGAGCGAGTGAGCCTTTAGATAAATATGTTGAAGACCTTTAAAACAAGTTCGGCAACCTTGAATTGTCATAAGAAGAAAAAATATTTGGTCACCCAAGGTTCCAAGGTTTACGCCTTTTGAGGCAAAAGACACGCAAAGAGAAGTGCTGATGCTCCAACCTTGAACCTTCCGGGAAGCCAAAAATGCTGCGCGTCTCACCCAAAGAGTTTAAGACTCGCAGAAGGAAATGAATTCCTTGCTCGTATGCAACAACTTNATGCTCCAACCTTGAACCTTCCGGGAAGCCAAAAATGCTGCGCGTCTCACCCAAAGAGTTTAAGACTCGCAGAAGGAAATGAATTCCTTGCTCGTATGCAACAACTTGACGCCCTTGACTTCTTTTTAGCAACAAAAGACAAACCCAAGGGGGCTTCCGCATTGAGTAAGGAGCGCCTTGCAGTGAGCCCGTGTTCACTGACAGCAGGAATTACTTCCCTTTGAAAGGAGGTCCGTGGGAAAAGTTGTGTAAAGTTCAGCCGCCAACATCTAACAAGGAAATAACGTAAGAGTAGCTATACAAAGTGCAAGGTTTAATTTAAAATGAACACAGTCGATACAGCTCATGCTTTAAGGCAACATGGAATTACGTGAAGACAAAAACAAAGGTGGGAGGAAAGCAACGTTGACAGTGCTATATAAAACATGATGTACTACAATCTAGTTGAGATACTGATCAACAGAAATATCTGGAGCCTGTTGGCCGCTCTAGCAGGCACATGGACAAATTCTCGTGTAAAGTCCTGGCGTCTGAAGCAAATTATCACCTGCTCTCATTTTTTTCTCATACACT